GAGAGCTGTCTATATCTATAGATTGTTATGCAATTGCAGTAGGGGTATAAACAAAGCTACAAAAGTAGGAATAACATCACAATGAGCATCCTAAGCTACTAGACATTCTTAATTGCTATGCTCAACTATAAGAGAAAGCAAGTAATTTGGCAAACAACAGTCCCCACTCACTGAATGTCAAACAAGGATGTGCACTAGCTTGGGGAGAATTGGAGTCTCCTTCAGGCACCACTCAAGTCATGCTGGAATTAACCTAGAGGAGAGTCACCATCACGTTATTGTCCTCTTCAACCTGGGGCAAAACCCAATGAAATCAACCTAAGCAAAAAATCCTTACTCAACTATTGAAAGTAAAGAGATGAATGGTCAAGATATGGTGATTTGGAAGGCAAGCAACTCAAACAAACTTCATTGCTTTGTAGTCTAATGGGTCATAATGCAGCCATTCAAGATTTGCTAAAATATGGCATAGGCTTGGGATGATTACCAAGAGCCAACTCTATTGAGGCAGCAAGAGATGAAGCACTGAAATTGATGATAGAATTGAGGAGAAGCTCTTCTTTGTTGCAAGAAGGGGGGGACAATATGCATTTTGATATGCATGATTTAATTCAGACAGTTGCCATATCAATTGCTTCTCGGGAGCATGGCCTATTAGATTTGACAGAGGATGCAGCTAAGGACATGTTTGACAAGAAGGCAATGAAAGAGTGCAAATGGATTTATTTATCAAATGGTGATGCTAAACCTGCTAATCACCTTCCATATAGGTTGAAATGTCCACAGCTCACTTTCTTTCACTTAGCTAACAAATACCCTAATTTGAAAATTCCAGACAACATTTTTAGGGGAACAGATGAACTCAGGGTCTTGGGATTGACTAAAATGCATTTTTCATCATTTCATTCATCAATTTCACTCTTAAAAAAACCTTCATACCTTGTGTCTAGATGAAAGTAAGTTAGGTACAATCCTAGTCTCTATCATGGGAAACTTAAAGAATTTGCAAGTCCTCAGTCTTGTAGGATGTGACATTGAAGAGCTGCCTCAGGAAACAAAGCAACTGGCTCAGCTGAAGTTGTTAGATTTGAGTGACTGTACTAAACTTAAAGTAATTCTACCAGGTATCTTAAAAACTTTGTCACAATTAGAAGAACTTTATTTGGGAAACAGCTTTGACCAATGGGAGGACATCAAGAAGCATGATAAAAAAAGAAATGCCAGCCTTGATGAGTTGACACAGTTGAAAAACTTAACCAATTTAGAGGTATGCATTCATGATATCAATATGATTCCAGATGACTTGTTTTCAGTAGAATTGAAACGATTTAAGATTTTCATAGGAGATGTGTGGAATCATTGGGGCAGTTCTTTTGAACACTCAAAAACATTGAAGCTAAAGCATGATGGAAGCATTAGATCTGATAAAGTTAAAAAGTTGCCCAACCAGGTAGAGGAACTGCATCTAGAGAAGTTGAATGTTGTCAAGTATGTATCTAATGAGTTAGATCAGAATGGTTTTCAAGAACTAAAGTGTCTCCATGTCAAGAATATTGATCTAGAGATTGAACTTTTGTTCTTCAACCCAAAGAAGGAGATTTATATTCTTCCCAAATTGGAAGTATTATTTCTTCACAATTTGAAGAGATTGCAAAAGATATTTCAGGGCCAGTTTGAAAAAACATCTTTGGAAAAGTTAAGAATCATTACTGTGACAGGTTGCAATCGGCTGAAAAATTTGTTCTCCTTCTCTGTAGCCAAACAGCTTCACTATCTCCAAGAAATTAGAGTGACAGATTGCAGCAACATTGTTGAAATTGTTGATGATGAGGAGGAAGAAGATGGTAATGTTATTACTGCTGAAGCAACTGATGATGTAATTGAGCTTGCCGCCCAAATTCAGTGCTTGAGGTTACAACATCTGACAGAGTTCATTAGTTTTAGCCAGGAAAAGATTATTAGATGCAGTAGCACATCACTTTTCAACAAAAAGGTACACATTTAATTTATCTAATTCTTTTTTTAGTTCTATCTTAAGCCAGACCTACATTTTTTTTTGCAGAATGAAGCTAAGGAAAATACAGAGGAAATAATAACTTAACAGATTGGCCAAATAAAATAAAATAAACATTACATACTTTCTTTTTCTTAGTATTTGTCAAGAAAATGGTAAGATGTTTCCTAAAAAGAATGACATGTTGCGCAGCTCGTGGCAGGGCACAGAAAATGGAATCTGACAAAACTGATAATTGAGGGCTGTGATCGGTTAGAAAATCTATTCTTTGAATCTATTGGTAATTGTCTGGTGAAGCTTGAACACCTTGAAATAAGGGGATGCAAGAAGATGAGAGAAATTATCATCGGAGATGCAGGCGAGGGTATGTTTTTGAATTCCTTGTAAGTTAAACTTCTTGCTGATAAAAGACCTTTAAAACCTCACAGATTTTCTATTTAGGAATGGTTTTTGTTAAATTTCCATCATTGAAGCAATTGGCTTTAGAGAACTGTCCGAGGCTGAAGCAGTTTGTGATAGACGACTGGGATGGCACTGCTCTCTTTAATAAAAAGGTAATTGTCTTCATTTTTCTTGCATTTTGAATTTAATTTTTGGTAAATTAATTAATTCTCATTTGTCTTTAATCAACAATTCAGGTTTACTTTCCTACTTTAGAAAAGATGTCAATCTCCAACTTGAAAAACTTGAATATCATATGGAGGGAATTCACGACTTCTTTCTTTGATATATTAAGCTTCCTGCACCTAAAAGATCTTCCGAACCTCATCAGAGTCTTCCAAAACGGTGATTACTTCAAATACTTGGAGCAGTTGAAAATAGAGAACTGCCCACAGTTGAATGGCTCCCTCTTTGATGAGGAGGTAAATTTTCTTTATTTTGCTTGCATTTTGGATTTAATTTTGGGAACTAATTCTCATTTCTCTTCAATGTAAAATGCAGCTTGTATTTCCTAAATTGAAAGGAATAGTTGTGTCCCACTTGAAAAACCTGAAGATCATACAGAAAAATCTTGATGAAAATTCCCTTTGCAAATTAAGATCATTGAGAGTTACATATTGTCAGAATCTATCAACCATTTTTCCATGTAACAGTGGCATGCGGAAAAAACTCTTGGGATCACTGGAGGATTTAGAAATTATTGGTTGTAGTTCAGTAAAAGAGGTGTTTGAACTTGGACAGTCAGATATCACAGGACCATCTGAGGAGGCAGAAGAATATAAGTTGATATTCCAAGAGCTAAAGGCTATTACTATAGCTGACTGCCCAAATATGGTTACATTTGCTTCTACCTTCTCAAGAGACCAAGAGCAAGAGACATCTGAACCCTTTTTCAGCACTAAGGTCAGTTTCTTTCTGAAGATTTTTCTTTATTTCCTTCCTTTTCTTTTTTTCTTCAATTTCAAGTTAAATGTTATTGGTTGAATGCTTTATGCGCAGGAAAATCTCTGAAAAATGATTTAA